ATAAATAAGCCAATATGAATATGAGAAAATAATCGAAACGTTATAATTACTCCTTTCAATTAATTAATCTTTTTATGTAAGGTTTTGGATCAAAAGAAAAAGTTAGTGTCACGAGCGGGATTCGAACCCACGACCACGGCTAGATACGCCGCTGCTGACTTGAGCTATCATGACTTCAATCCACTCGGTCAGCAACTTCCCATCTCAACCTATCTTTCGAATTTTTTCTCCTTTTTGCTTTTTGATAGGTCAAGTGGTAGAGCAGCTGCGAATTTTGACGAAGGTCGTTGGTTCGAATCCCGCTCGTGACACTAACTTTTTCATTTCAACCAATACCTTACATAAGATTAATTATTTGAAAGAAGTTTAGAACCTTTTCCACTTTTTTTTCAGACGTTTCGAACTTTATTCGGGGCACATTCAAGGCCTGGGTAAATTACAAAACCTATATTGATTGGAAAAAATACAATTTCAGATGTAAATACTTGGTTCAAAAGTTATATTTACATCTTAAATTGTATTTTTTTCAATCAATATATGTTTTTTTAATTAACCAGGCCTTGAAGATGACCCGAATAAAAGTCGAAACGTCGGCAAAAAAAATAAAAAAGGTGTCTTTCTAAACTACCTCTTCTTGACCGCTCCTCAGAACCTCAACAAAATACTTCACAACCTTACGGCCAGAGACGACTTAGTATTGTCTTGTAAAATTGTGTGGTGTTTAGTGACCGTTGGCACTCTCAACACGACATACAAGAATGACACATCTACACGGAAAACAAACACTTTGAGCCCTGAAGACGATCTCAATAAAGATCGAAACGTTGGCACGATAAAGAAAATGTTTTTCTGAAACCTACATCACACCAGACCGCATCTCACGATTTCTGAATAATCATCGAATAACGGTCACTAATCACCACATACTTTTTAAAAAGATAGTTCCTATTCACAGTAAGTTGTTTTCAACGATCGGATTTCGAGCTTATAGCTCATCATCAGGTGGAAGGAGTTCTACAGCCACGTCTCCTTGACATGAATCGTATCAATTCACACGCCATAATTCATGTCGAGAAATATGGTTGTGGAACTCCTTCCACCTGATGATGAGCTATAAGCTCGAAATCCGAATCGTTGAAAACAACTTACTGTGAATAGGAACTATCTTTTTAAAACGGTTTAATGAAGGTACGTCTGTAATACCCATTTATCCTCAATTACTCTAATAAATTTGTCAGCAATAATATTCATACATTTAAAACCAATTGAAATTCAAATTCAAACTCATAATACACAAATACAGCAATTATTAATGTAAATATTCCAATATTCTACCATGTTGACTCAGTATTTTGTCATATTTTCTACAGTTAAAAGTTATTTAATTTCTACGTATACATTTCTTTAATTAGCCAATAGACAACAGAGTTGTCTCAATCCATACATGATCAGACAACGCAGTCACGCTTCCGTCCTGATTTGCGACCTGACATTCTGAACAGTGGTGGTCATTGCTTTCAAATTGGGCTTATGTATGATATTTGAATACAAAATTATAATTATTAAAGGCGGATATCAATTATATCGAAATAATCTATAATAAAGATTTGGATTTTGTGTTTCTGTGTTTTGTATGAGTGAGTGTATTTATTAGAGTGAATGGGGAGGGGCTGATGGTGGAATATTTAGAAAAGTACCCCATCGAACTCAATTAGGTTAGTTTGTTATTGTACACAGGTCGATTGAGGAATATTGAGTGCACCATGTACCAAATAATATGAATGCAATGTATATAGGTATGAATGTATTTATTTGTGTGAATGTGTGTTGCAATATTTCGCATGCGCTCGGGGCTGAAATGGTCAAGATTTGGATTAATCTCGAAAAATAAGATTCAACTCTTTTTCTCCAGTACAATGAGGGGGGGGAGACGTGGAAATAAATTTAAAACCTTCCGAACGAAAGAGCCAACGAATATTGAATAAGTAAAGCGCCAAAAGCGAAGTCAAGCCGTAAGGATTTATTTAGGAATAAGTCCGTGGGAGTTGTGGAGCATGGGAAACGAGCTTTCTCACCGAATCGGAACACTTTTCAGAATCCCAGTAAAGAAATTGTGACCAAATTTCAGTAAATTTAATGCCGCGACTCTCCCCGTCGAAACTCCAGAGGACTAGAATTTGCCGGCTTTTTAATTAAATGCGTCTTAGCTGGAAAGCTCATTTTTCAGGGTTGACACCATATTAAAAAAAAAATTTTAAGTTAAATCCTTTAATCACAAATGTACACCGATCAAGTCCAATATTTCCGTCCAGACACAACGTCGATTTCTCTTAATTTATGCTTTAGCATGTCAAAATTGAACGTTCCTTTTAATAAAATTATAAACTAAATTGTAATATAATATGTTAAAACATGTAAAAAATCGCCTGTAATGTTTCAAGCCATACATACCTTCGATAAATAATCCTATATAATAATAATCCTATTTTGATGCAATCCATCAGGTCAAATGTTTCGTCATTTGTCAAAAATATAGCATAAATCGTGTAACTCTAAGATAATAGTGATTAATTGGTTCTAAAAATATTTCCACTACATTCTCGTCCTTGATTTTATCAGCTCTAAAAAGGTATAAACACTTAAAGGCAAAATAAACCGTGTTGTTGTTTATTTCAAAATTTATGCATTTTTATCGTTATATTAATAAAAATATTTTAATGTAAACAAATTAAACAGATCAAAAATGTATGAGTTTTAATTTAAAAATATTTAATTTTGATGGTTTGAAAAAAAATTCACCAAGATACCGAAAACTCATTTAGTGATAAATTAAAATTTAACTAACAATTAATTACCTGGTTTTCCTCTTAATAGCGTGTATTTCCTCCCCTGATCTCGCGGAGTGCTTTAAGTCTTCTTGGTATGAGTAAATATCATTAGTGTTCTATGGGATTCATGTCAAGTGAACGTGTTGGCCAATTCGTTGTAGTAATCCTTTTGTCCTTCAAGTCATGGGTGACAACTCGGTCGAGCATTGTCATGCTTTAACACCAAGTTGTCCCCAAGGTGTGGACCGAAATAGCGAATGGACCTCAGCATGATGAACTTTCTCAACGTACAAAGGTCAATTCTGTGAGATTATCTGTTCGGGGCGAGCTTGGATTACCTCCTTATACCATAACTGACTGTCTTTCAACAGGCTGTGGCACACCCATGGCACATGAAGCAAAGCGTACTCAAAGCCTTCTCCACACACGGTCTTGGGCATCTGATTGCGACAAACAAACCGGCACTGGGAAGAGAACAGCCCCCTTGTCCAAGCGAGATGCTGATTTAATAGTCGCCTACTTAATGCCGCTAGTAGAGAACCTAGGCTATTCTCACGAAGCCTTCTGATGACTAGCGGATTACTGGTAGTTCAGCAGTACAGTAAGAGCAACAAAACGATGGTTCTAACCGGCGTTCATAGCTGTCGATTATTATCTATACCGTGGCCCACCCAGGACATGGGTTATGTATCGGACGTTACGTCCTTCGTTGACCAAAATATCTGACCTGGCCAGATCCCGCATCAAAATTATGCCTTTAAGAAAAAAAATTTTTTTTGCTCAACTTTATTGTTTCAACAGATGGGGAGTTGGTGTCCGAGTGGTTCGAAGACACGATAACTCAAGTGGTTAGAGCAGCGGCGTATTGAGCAGAAGGTCGTGGGTTCGAATCTCCCTCGTGACACTACCTTTTTCATTTCAAGCTAACATAAAGATTAATTAATTGAAAGAAGTTATTTGGTCAATCGGACCACGAATTATAATGGATTTAATAAGTAAAATGAAGCATATCTTCACTAAGAGCTCTCCGTGGCCATTTCATTTGTCGCCGAGAATCGAATCCTGATTACACATTTGAAAAATGGCAAAAAGGAGGAAAAATTCGAAAGTTGGGTTGAGTTGGGGAGTTGGCGTCTGAGTGGATAGCTAAACCAATATGAATATGAGAAAATAATCGAAACGTTATAATTATTCCTTTCAATTAATTAATCTTTTTATGTAAGGTTTTGGATCAAAAGAAAAAGTTAGTGTCACGAGCGGGATTCGAACCCACGACCTTCGGCTAGATACGCCGCTGCTGACTTTAACACTTGAGCTATCGTGACTTCAATCCACTCGGACAGCAACTTCCCATCTCAACCTATCTTTCGAATTTTCCCTCCTTTTTACATTTTGATAGCTCAAGTGGTTAGAGCAGCGGCGTATTGAGCCGAAGGTCGTGGGTTCGAATCCCCCTCGTGACACTAACTTTTTCATTTCAACCAATGCCTTACATAACAATTAATTAATTGAAAGAAGTTATTTGGTTAATCCATCCACGAAATATAATGGAAAGAAAACAGTTTAAAAACCAATTAACTCACTTGACAAGTTGGCTCTGGAAAGGTTGAAATTGAACTTTTTATTTATTTTTAATCTAAAGAGTGTAAAAGGGTTAGGTATGGTCGGGATGTTTACTCTATAAAGGTAAACCAAAAATGATTAATATTGTGTTTACGTCGAAGTCAATTATTATTTGTTATAATTGTAGAATGTAAACAAATAAATATGGGTTTTTGTCTTTGAGAGTATACAAGGCAGGCATGTATATTAGATACATAACTGTCGACGTTACAAAAATTCCTCTTCAAAGCGAAACTTTTCATTGTCCTTAAAAGGTAGGAAACCAGCAAAAATACGACAAATTACTTACATTTAGACAGGCGATCCGAAAAAACATCTGGACGGTAGGACCGAACGTAAACTTTTTTAATAATTTTAATGTCTGTGTACATCTGCAGATTTTATCGCCTTTCACCAACGTTGAAGGCACATTTTCAACAGCAGGATAAACGGACGGAATAAATTAATTTTAAAACTCTCCAGTTTGAAAGTGCTACCTTATTCAGGTAAATAACATTAAGGGGAATATAAGTAAAGGCAAATTAAGATCAAAATGTAAAAAAAGGCCAGGGAGATAAATTTATTAATTCAAATCATGAGCACAAATAAGTTACAACATAGACAACTTTAAATTTATTCGGACGTTTCCGACACGCCAACGTAGGATAAAGAAAAAAGTTTATTTTACTTAGGCTTTTTTAAATTTTATTTTACGTTTTATACAATCCTTACCACAGGCTTACATCTTCATTGTTCATAGATTTAAAAATTTTTACATAATTTTTTAAATATAAGGAATACAATTTTTAAAAGCGTTAACATCCATCTTCAACTATATACAATAATTAATATAAGGAGACACGTGGTTTTCATATTGTCTATAATGTAAATAATACTTTCTACTATGGCGAATAGAAATACAAATTATATCAGTCTGCTTTTATGATTTTTAACCTTTCTAAGCAAGAATACTAAATAGTAATATTTAAAAAAAGAAAATCATTTCATAAGGCGAACACCCAACAAAACTTTCTACCATATTATAACTTTTGAAAACCTGTACATACTCAGATGGTGAAAAACAATCGTAAATTAACGAATAATAAATAAAACGATGCATTTAATCTATTTTTACCTAAGAATATTAGTGTATGTTTTTTTTAACAACTTATCTTATCTGACTGACAATAACAACGAGAGTATGACTGTACAATGGACAAATAGTACAAGTAGATTGATTTTTTTCTTCAGAAAGACTGCTTAGTGCAAAGGTTAATCAAAGTGGTACTTGAAAGGTAATTAATTAATCCGCGTTTATTATTATATGTTTTGCCTTTTCTTATGTGAAATAATGAAATAAAAATATATCTAATCTATTTTGCAAGGAATTGACATCAAATGATATATGACAGCGTTGTTTTAGATAGAATTGGATTAGAAGTAATGGAAGGAGATGTGGTTTTTTAAACTTGATTTTTGATTTTGAAATTATCGGCATTTTGTCTGAAATGAGTTTTTGGAAAATCGTCGCTACACGTGTCGCTCAGGTCAGCAAACAGGGATTGAAAAAAAAATCAGACGTGTTAATATTATTATTAATTTTCTCTTCTTCTGTAGGTTCGATAAAAATAATCCAGTCTAGCGTTTTCCGTATCTGAGGGGTCCACCCTTAACCCTCTGCGGTGAGCCGCTATTCCTGGCCACCAGCATGGCGAAACGGGCCTGCCGCCTTCTTTCTTCTTCGATGGGTCGCTGACGCAAAAACGCCGAGGTGAGCGGCTTAAAACGGGAAAGTGCGGACAAAGCGCGCTTTCCCACGCTTCGCCAGTCGACGTCCTCGTCTGGAAAAGAAACAAACGTCTTTTGAACGGGGGACCCAACCGATTGGGTTTGAGTCGGATGACGTACCGTACGAAGGGTTCCTGGGAGGTGGGTCGTACGTCTGAGGGATGTAGGCGTTATCGTCCAGGGCGAGTGCGTAGTTGGCGTCCGGGCCGATCTGTTGGCGCAGGTAAGTCATCCCGTCGAAATGCATCGTCCCGACGGTCGGTGAGATCACCATCGCCACATATCCGAACACCCACACTAACCAAGGCATCCTAACTAGAAAAACATTTTGAAAACATTACATCAATGTGGAAATGTCAATTTCTGAAGACTGGCTTGTTTTCAGTATTAGAACTATCGACCACTTTTTCACTTACGAACACCCCGGTACAAGGTATAGTCTTGAAGAAGAAAGCTAATTTAATTTCCACTGCCAAACTTTCAACCTACATTAAGGTCATCATCAGGGCAAAACAACCCTAAATATGTTTACAGATTAACATATTTAAGGGTTTTTTTTTCAAGCAATATCAAATTTCCTTGACCTAACATTGCCAAGGATTATTTGGAGATCGTGAGATGCGGTCTGGTGTGACGTAGGTTTTAGAAAAACTTTTTTTATCGTGCCAACGTTTCGATCTTTGTTGAGATCATCTTCAGGGCCTTGTATTGCCTGCATTTCAACAAAAAAGTTCTCTGATTGATAGCCGATGCATGTTTCTTTTCATTGTTGACGATGTCCTTCAGAATACACCTTGCTTGGTGTCCATATGTAGTTGAAATCTGTTCATAGAATACCGTGTTCTTCTTTATTCTCGTGTAGAAATATGTGGTATTTAGTGATGAAATGCAGGCAATACAAGGCCCTGAAGATGATCCCAATAAAGACGTACAAATTTAAAATAAATCGAAATATCATCAAATATAACAATGATTGTTTGGAGATCGTGAGGTGCGGTCTGGTGTGAAGGGGCTCAAAGTGTTTGCTTTCCGTGTAGATGTGTCATTCTTGTGTGTCGTGTTGAGAGTGCCATTGACATTACGAGGACATCACCAACAATGAGAAGAAACATGCATCGGCTATCAAGCAGAGAACTATTTTGTTGAAATGGAGGCAACACAAGGCCCTGAAGACGATCTCAATAAAGATCGAAACGTTGGCATGTTAAGAAAATGGTTTTCTAAAACCTACGTCACACCAGACCGCATCTCACGACCTGAGTTAGTTAATAATCATTAACTAACAGTCACTAAACACCACACATAGACAAGGACAAGTATAATCCACTGTTCAATACTGTTACATTCCTTTGCATTGATGGGACTGAATCGGTCTTCTAGGAAATTCGAGATCGCCTGTAAAAAACTTAAATGTGTAAATCTATAGACGTATTTAAGGTTGTTTTGCCCTGATGACCATAGGGATACCTTAAAATAGGTCGAACACTTGGCAGCTAGCAACTAAATTGGCTTTCTTCTTCAAGACCATACCTTGATCCTGTGTTCGTTCACTTGTGTTGTACACTCAAATTCGTAAATGTTTCCCAATTAGGTAGAGACTTTGTGACTGTCATCTCGGGTGTACCGTCCTTAGCTGTACAGCTAACCACCGTTTCAGTCACCAGTATCACTATAAGGTTTATTTAGTAGACTTTGAGGTTTGTCGTGGAAATACGATAGGTTGCGATACTGGTGGGATATGAGGTAAAGACTATAAGATTGTATTTAACCTTGAAGGTTCCAAGGTGTGGAGATTTAGGAGGGAGGAGCACCGTATGACATGTATAACAGGAAAATATGAAGTGAAGAGGAAGGTAAACAGTGTAGAATAGTGTTGGGAGAATACTTCTTTGAGGAATGCCTGCATGCATAAGACAAATATGTAGAAAAACCTATGATTACATGAAAAGACAGATAAATATGATTTGCAGGCGTGGTAGGAGTAAGATTGAGTTTCCTCAGCTGATACCTAGTCATATGCTTGTGAGTTGTTCAGAGTGACAACCGCACGGACTTCTTCAATTCAAGGGTAATAGGGATGCTTGATGTTTCAAAAATATTATTTCTATTCATTTAATCTTATTACAAGTAATATTTCAATCTTACGAAAATGATAGCAAAGTCACAAATGATCAAGAAAAACTTAGTCATTCTTTGTAAATACAACGGTCCCTCCCTCTCTTTCTTTTCTCTCTTCTATTTTTTCGCTTACCAGATCATTGAAATTTCATTAATTGACATAATCTTCGTATTTTTGATGTTATCTTAATCATTCACAACAATGGTAAATTTGGATGCGTCAGGATACGAACTGCACCTAGAAAGCAGATCCGGGAGATCCTTACAGTTTGGATGGACAACTCGTGGCAGGAAAGATGGGACAGAAGCACCATGGGAAGGTTAACCCACGAGTTTCTACCCAGTATTGAGGACCGAGCAAGAGCAAAGTGGATCCAACCAGATTTCTGGATCACACAAATAATGACAGGTCACGGAAATTTCAACGCTTGCTTGCACCGATTCCGTAGAGCTAACAGTCCACTGTGTCCCGACTGCGGATGACAGTGACCAACACAAACTATTCAACTGCCCCCTCCTTGAGAGTGTGAGGGAACCACTAAAGCTCCTCTTCCGCCACACTTGGCCACCGACCCTCAACGAACTGGTTAAAGAAAAGAGGACGTTTGAGGTCCTCAAGCCTGTTGCCGAGCTATAGGGGATAAAGTACCTGACTAGTTTTTTCTTCCTTTCTTTTTTCTTCTTTTTCTTCCTATGATAAGTTACTTGTTAGGTCTTAGCGTTTCCCTGAACTTTTAATTCCGGGCTGGTTACTCCTTGTACCCATAATTGTTATTTATTTATTAAAATATTGTATTTATTAGAAAGTGTATTCAAAAGGATTAACCAGCAAGGGGGAGACCTATTAGATTAGATAAATTAATAATAAGAAAAATATTTCCCTTCTTCCTTGGGTCTTCCCTTTCAGGGCAAGGTCGAAGGACGACGTTAAGCACAAATAAGATCTCCTAAACTTGCATCCCATTTGAATTAGTTTAGTGGCCGTGGTCCGCCGGTATGGGGTCTCCCTTAGGTACGGCGGGGAGGTGGATGTGGGAAAAAAATCGTAGTCATTCAAAGTAAATATTGGGTTGTCCGTAAAATAATGCAGGTTTTTATGTTTTTTTTTTCAATTACCTCTACATAAAATAAACTTACGTTTGATGGATTATTCTTTTTACTAATGTCAACACTTTTCAACCCTCTTCTAAATAAAAATGTTTGTTTACTTCAGTAGCTTTTCGTTACTTGGGAATAATTCAGTTTTTACTAAGACGTCAACACGTGATTTTTGCGTAATTTCGTTTTACGAGTTTAAACTCGTTGAAACATTAATGAAGTCTGAAGCAGTGTGAGTGAGAGCACAGAGATGGTTTAAAAAATTTCTCAAGGGAGAATTTAGCCTTGAAGATAAAGAAGGTCGTGGAAGGATTTCTTCCCTAGATGATGAAATTCTGCCAGCTTTGGTCGCAGAAAACCTCAGAAACCTGAGAACTTGCAGACAATTGTTCACTTTGCAAATAGAAAGTCGCTGACTACCTTAAGGCAATTGAAAAGGTGAAAAAGCTCTAAAGTTGCTCTTCATGCATTATGGTATGCCAAAAAACCATCGTTATGACGTTTGCGTAACGCTTTTTTGCTTAAACAAAAACGAAACTTTTCTAGATAGAATTTTTACTTGTGATGAAAAGAGGATTTTCTACGATAACAGCACACGTTCTGGACAAAAGATGACAGGAGAAGCAGTACAACATTTTCCACAGCCCCAACATATAAAAAACAGGTGACGATGACTCTTTGGTGGACTTCATTTGGGCTGATTTACTACAGCTCCTTGAATCCTGGCAAAACAATCAGAGCCGAAATATATTGCTCTCAAATTGAAGCAATACATCAGAAATTGGCATTATTGAAGCATCTTTGGTCAATCGGAAAATACCTATTCTGTCACACGACCACGATTGGCACCATGTCTCACATGTGACAACACGAAAACTATTGGATCTTGGTTATGAGGTTATGTCAACCCTCTCTGTTATCCAGACCTCTCGTCTACCACTACCATTTTTACAATATAAAAAAATTTATCGATCAAAAGTCGTTAGACAATGCTATTATAGAATTTTTTAATAATAAAGACTCAAAATTATAGTCAGAGGTTATAGACAAGTTACTATCACGCTGGGAGAAGTGTATGGAGAATGATGAAGTAATTAATAAGAAATAATTATTTGGAGGTCGTGAGATGCGGTCTGGTGTGACGAAGGGTTTAGAAAAACATTTTTTTATCGTGCGAACGTTTCGATCTTTATTGAGATCATCTTCAGCGCGTTATTACCGTGCAGATGTGTCACACTAAACACGACAGATGACACATCTACAAGGAAAACAAACATTTTGAGCCCTGAGAGTGTTTCGTGACCGTTACTTGATGATTATTTGGAAATAATGAGATGCGGTCTGGTGTGACGTAGGTTTTAGAAACGTTTCTTTATCATGCCAACGTTTCGATCTTTAAATTCACTAATTTCGTGGTCCGCTTGACCGACTAATATATTAACATTAATTAAGGTTTTTAGTTGAGATAAAAAAGTCAAAAAGGAGGGAAAATTCAAAAGGTGCGGTTGAGATGGGAAGTTGGCGTCCGAGTGGATCGAGGTCACGATAGCTCAAGTGGTACAGCAGCGGCGTATCAAGCCGAAGATCGTGGGTTCGAATCCCGCTCGTGCCATTGACTTTTTTATCTCAACTAAAAACCTTAATTAATGTTTCGATCTTTATTGAGATCATCTTCAGCGCTCAAAGTGTTTCTTTTCCTTGCACGGAAAAAACGCGCTGAAGATGATTTCAATAAAGATCGAAACGTTGCCATGATAAAGAAACGTTTCTAAAACCTACGTCACACCAGACCGCATCTCATGATTTCCAAATAATCATCAAGTAACGGTCACTAAACACATTTCTACAATAAAAAATAATATTTAAAATCATTTATTTAATCTTTATTTTATAACCATAAATCTGCATTATTTTTCGGACAAAGCAATAATTTCATTTAAATTATCATATTTTTTTAATGTTCCATTCATATGTGATTTGGGTATTTTATATGCTAGCACTTTTACCAATTTATGCAGTTGGTAGTAAATAAGGTAAAACTATCATATACATAACAGATTTTGGTTAACTTATCCTAAGAGACAATAGGGGTGGTGAAT